CGACTCAAATTATATTGGATGATAGCTTAGACACTACTCTTCAAAAATATATAGACCCTGTCTCTTTATCTTAAAATATAGCAAGAATAAAAATAAAAATAAAAATAGGACTGAAACTTATGAAACGCCCTTTATGAAGATTCAAATCAATACAATATTGCATTCTTTTCAAATTGATTTTAAATTATTATGAATTTATTATTTATTCTTACCAGGAAACTTTTGCAACGGATAAATTCCGTTTGATCCCATGTTTTACTGATTATAAGGGTCTATGGTACAAAAAAGATTTGTGCCATTAGAGCTTTCTTCTTTATTTATGATCATTTTACTGGATTTTCAGCATATTACGAAGAAAACTGAATCAATTAGTCTGAAATTTTTTTCTCGAAATAGATCTTATGATCTTTATAATATTCTGAAAGCTTCAGCAAAAACGGATGCTTCTATATCAAGATAACAAAGTTACAAAATTGCTCATTGCTCTTAAATAATTTGAACAAGTCCGGATTTTTTGAGTCTACAATATCTTCACAAAAAAAACAAAAACATTTGTTTTTGCTAAAACTTTCAAAATATTATAAAGAGTATGAAATCCAATGTACAATGCAAAATTAATGGCATCAAATGTTGATCCTTATATTTTTTCGATAAATAGATTTTGAAAAGAATAATTTTTTTCTTAGCTGATAGAAAATTTTCTTCTCTTTCAAACAATGTATGATTCATAATTTATCACATATTCGTAAATGAGATGACACGAGAGAAAAGAAAAACAACATTCGCACAATAAATGTCTAATTGAGTTATGACACTCGTCAAAAAATATCTTGTTCGATAATAATAAATTCGATTTTTGTGAACACATTAAAATTATAAATTTATTTTCCGAGTGTTTCATCTACCAATATATGACAAATATGAATCATACACTATTCGAAAGCGAAAAAAATTTCCTATCAACTAATCAAAAAAATATCTCTTTTAGAATCTATTTACCGAAGAAATATAACAATCGACATTTCATGCAGTCCTTATATAGAAAGCGTACAGATTTTTTTTTCAAGGACACTTCTCTTTTCTGTTGTATCGTTTCGTTTATGCACGTGTGATAAAAATCAGTTATATATGAGTCGAAAGAGGAGAAAAAGCTCTATCGCTTGATTAAAAAAAAAAAGATTTCTTTCAGCGCTCTTTTATCGAAGAGAAATATGGATCAACATTTTGTGGCATTGCTATTGCATCGTACTTTATTTTCAGTGTAAAACATCTTAATTCAGTCTTCCTCGTAATATTCTTCAATAGACTGAAAATGGCACAAATAGAACTTTTATCTGCACCATACGCCCTAACGATTCACATCCTTATGAATGTTAATTATTCAAATTAATTTCTTAGGATTTTCTTTTTTTCAAATTCTTATATGCAATAATCAATCATTAAAAAATAGTTGTTATTTTTTGTTTACAACAAAAAACTAAGAAAACATGTTTTCATATTTACTTTTGCTAAACAATTTTCACTTCCACATAAATCATATGTATTTTGTCTCGAAATCAACTTGAATTTGTCAAAATAAGCTTATTTATTTTTTTAATATTAATAAAACTTTTTATTTCTATCAATAATACTTAAAAGAAAAAAAAGACATATATTTCCATAACAGTGCATAGATAATCTAATACATAAGAAAATAGTTTTGCTTTATTTTTATTTCACATTGGTTCATATTGTTGTCTCGCATAGTATTCCGAAGCAAGTCCAAGTATGGCACTAATCAATAATGATACTATAAGAATAGAATCAAGAACCATAAGTGTAATATATCGTTTGCGAAGATAATAATAAACAGGTTCAGCAAAACCACGTACATTGATTGTATCTTGTTTAACCTGACCATCTTTGGTAAATCCTACAGTGTGTGTATGTGCTGCAACGACACTATTTACATAAAAGTCTGTAACTATTATAACGCAACACGAGCTAAAAGGATTTTCATAAAGTAATTGATTCTTTTCATCGGGTACTTTTTTAACATCACAACAACCAAATGTAGCTTGAATATGTCCAATAATAGAATGTGAATCTACAATTGTATTTGATGTCGAATGATTACGAAGAAGATATTCAGTATGTGTGTATGAATCACGTCGAAGATTATCAAGACCTACTCGAAGAACAGCAAGACATATTATAGTTAATACAACAACAACCAACATTAAAATAGAAAATACTATTGTTAATGCTGGAAATTTACGATTAACAACATATAAAAGACCAATTGAAAAGATAATTGTCAATATACCAATTAAAATACTATAGATTGATATTGCATAGATCTCTCTCCATGAATCTCGAAGAAAACTCATATCATGGACAAAAACTGATCCAGTAATTACAAGAGCAATACCAATAATAATTGATAAAGTACTTGCTACGGCACAAGTTGTTGAATATCTTTTAGCCATGTATTTTAATACAATGATAATTCGCTCTCAAGTATGTTGTAGGTAAATTTCGATCTATTCTAATAGAAAAACGAGGTGAAATAAAGAAAAGTCGTATATCATATGTTTATTTGCAATCAGTAACGTCAACCAAGCGTTAATTTTTTTCTCTTCTCTTTTTTTTTTCTCCTCTAGGGTTTCATATATTTTGTCCCAGCAAATAATCGAAGACTGCCGCTATTGTATTAATCATTAAATTTGTGAACGAGTAATAAATTTACTTTTTCCTTTTTGCAACTGTAACGTTTTCTAAACATATATTGATTACATATTAAACATATAAGGAGGAAACATCCGTTGAAATATTGTTTACTGCCTTCTACATTTATTTCTGCAGTCATGCATTTCATTACATTTGACATTGTATTCGTTTCTGTCTTTTCCTTTTTTTTTTTGATATGTATACGTAATTGATCTATTAAAAATAGCCAATTGACAAACAACAGCTGTTATTTGAAGCGTAGCAAAAAGAAAACTAACATAAAAATGTTTAGTTCATATGAAGTGTAATGAACTATAAAAAAAATAAAACATATGTTTCAAGGAAAACAACGAATTCTAATTAACTTTCTATTGTTGTACATATTTTGATTAATTTTTATGATGAATTTTATCTGAATAAAATTTTTGTTTTTTTGTTTTTACAAAATAATTGAAAAGATTTAACATATTTTAATTAATTTTTGTAACATGAAGAAAAGTAGTGGATGTGAATTATATACAATAGATTCATATAGTGATTAAAAAAAAAAAATTTAAATCATGAATAATTATAAGAATTTATTGAATGTTTTATCAATTATACTGCAATCAAAAAAGATTCAATGTATTTTTTTAAATTCGATAAGAATAAGCATACCAGTGAGAAAGTTTGACCGATCAAGTCTTTAATTCAAACTAAAAAGATAGCAGTTTTATGTATTCATCGAAATATATTTCTTAGATTATTTCATATGATATTTATTATAACTAGTCAATTTCATCCATTAGAATATACTTAACTTCTTTAATTTTGTTATATTTTAACTTATTTATCATATCGTCTCCAATGCTAAAACAATTTATTAAGAATATTATAGACAATAAAATTCAACAAGTGAAAAATTTAGGTTAAATATTAACTAAATATGAAGTACTAATATCTAATTTTGAAAAGCAACATTCATTGAATTGCAACAATATACAGCTAAAATTGATCCTACTGAAATATCTTTGATTAAAGTTCAATTGAATAATAAATAATAATTAACATTAACACTTTCAAATCGATCGTGGACATGTTTTTTTTTAAGCTTTTCAACATCGTTGGTAAAGCTTTTTAGCAAATATTAAAAGTTTCAAGTATTGTGCTGAAAATTTTTAATTTTAGCACTGAATATTAAATGACTGTACATTTATGTTTATTCAAATTTGCCACATATTTCAGATATGAAATATCAGAAAGCATTCTTTGATCCCAAATTATTTCTTAATGTCATAATAATGAATGTTCATACCGAACTTCAATCATTTAGAACAATTTTTTAAATAGTTCAAACAAAGCTTTTTAACACATTCTGTTTTAATGGTATACTTCTTATTTGTTTATATAGTTTTCAACAAAACTTAGTTGGCTATATGTAGTATTGATATAACTATAATTCAATATGATTTTACACGTATCTTTGTTTAGATGGAACCATCAAATTAATTTTAAACAATAGATTAAACGATTATAACAATTATCGGAGATACTTTTGATAACCGAGATCTTTAACAGACGTCATGGAACTATTAAAATTATTATACAATATTGAAAAGGCAACGTTTCTTGTAGGATGTTAGACAATCGAGTGTTCAGACAATTTTTTTTTTTCGCAGTAATACTATCAATGAAGAAAAATATTTTATTATGCTTTAAACTGGTTTTTTTTGGTCCAGAAGTAGGAAGATTATATTAGATGAACTCCATATCATTTCACAAGGATTAAGTTTCTCCGCATTTTAGCCGCGAAGTCTGTCAATTTCTAGAAAATATTTCTCCAACCAAGTGCAATAGAAGTGGAAATTGATTTCAATAGGTATCACAATCAGCTGAGCTGACGCGATCCAATGGTTTTTTGTAGAAACAACATCTCAAAGATATCGCTTGCATTTCTTTGTTTTTGACTGAACTTTTAGAATATCCTGTATAGATGCGTATGGTTATTTAAAAGTGATCATGATAATGATTATATCATCAATGGAATCCGAATTATTTTGATTTTGAATGTATAAAAATTGAAAAATTCTAAAACAACAAAATTTTCAAATCAATTCTGATTATTTTAAAAATAAAGTTCATTGAAACTTCTTCTATTTAATTAGATCAAATTTAACTATCTTTTCTTACTAAGCGTTGTATATATTTATCGTCTTCTCATCGTATCTGCTCACATGTCAAGACCTTGAGAATCGAACCAAAAATAAGATAAACATAAAAAGCATGACTTTATTTTATATTATAGAAGTTTTGATAGTTTAAAAAGTCACAATAATTAAAACTCTTTTCTTGAGACAAAAAACATTCTGCCTTCTAAAGTATACTCCTAATAACACAAAAGAAAGTAAAACAAATAAAGAGGATAGTCAAAACAAACAATAAGATCAGAGAAGCGCCTTTCATAATCAACAAAAAACAGATGTTGATAGGAGTCTTCTCCGATATTTTCGAACAGATGAATTAACACAATCTAATAATATTGATCAAGTCTAAAAAAGCAGAAAAAGTAACAACACTCATCAAAGTATATATTACTAGAGAATCTAGTTGAATCATATAAAATAGTATAAAATTAATAGAAAAAAAAAGTAGTCATCGATGCATGAAATAGTATTTTTTTTTTTTCTTCAATACAAGTAGAACGAGAGTGCATTGATATGGTTAGATGAGTATATGAAAACATTGATAACGAAATTTTTAAAACGAGACACGAAAAGTTTTGTTTTGTAGTATCATAAAAACAAACTAATCCTATACAATAAATTAAATATTCAGCAAAATATAAGTACAATTGAAAGAATTGCTGCATAACCAATAATAATATTTGTCAGAAAAAAGACAAATAAAATAATTTTTCATTTACATAGCATATACCTGGAAAAAAAACCAACAATTATCAATAAGTAATCATTTACATATATGATTTCGAAACATGTTGATAAAAATCAAAACGAAATGATTATTTTTGCATTTTCTTTTATTGATCATTTTTTCAAATATATTCATAAAGAAATATAATAAGAATATGTGTTGGTGGATATACTATGATTTTTTCCGACAACAATTTCATAGCTATTTGTATTTCTTATTATTGTAGAATGATTGAAATATGAGAACGGAGAATTCTTTTTTTTTTTACTTGTTATCTTTGTATACGACAGGAATATGATTTCTCATCATCTGTTAGTCTTGGCTATATATAAATAAAAATACAGCTTAAGAATATAATGGTTGACATAACTTTAGAGTAGCTGAGCACAATTCGATGTTTTGATTCTCTTCATGATTTTCCTTCATCAAACTGCATTCAATTTATAGAAACTTCAAGAAGCATTTTTCATAACATACTTCTTGAGTCTTTTGTAAATTGAATGCAGTTTGATGAAAGAATGTCATAGAGAGAGTCAAGACATTTTATTATTTTTTTCTCAAAATGATTTGCTTCATTAAATAAAACCATGTCACAAAAAAGCTTCACAAATGGATGCCAGAAAATTAGTTTTGATTTTTTAGACATTCACATCTAAGCAGTTTTGTTGAAGTTTTTAGGTCCATCGACCTTGATAAAGAATCCTTTTAGGTATTCACATGTCTTTTTTTTCAGATTCTTCCTAGCTATTACCATTGAGAAGAAAACTTAAAAATATAAACTGCTCTAAACTTTTGTCTGTCACTATAGATAAGAATTATTCATTATTATTATAAAGAAAAGCTTATTTAACAGTTTACGATCTGTTTTTTTTATTTATCTCGATTGAACTTTCAATCGAATAATCTTTCTCAGTGATACATTTATTCTCATCGAATTTGTTTTGAAAAATGCATTGAAATATTTTCTAATTGCGTTATGATTAATAAAACAACAAGTAAATTTTCATAATTATTCAGAACTTCAATTTTCTTTATCATTATATGAACTTATTGCGTATAATTTATATCTGTCATTTTTCTTCATATTACAAAAATTAATTAAAAATCATATTATTTTTCAATTATTTTGTTAACAAAAAAATAAAATTTCACTCAGACGAGATTCGTTATTACTTTAATCAAAAAATGTACAACAGTAGAAAGTTAATTAGAATTCGCTGGTTCCTTCAAATATATACTCTATTTTTTTTTATAGTTTCTCACACGTCATATAAACTACACACTTTTATGTTACTTTTTTTTCCTACACTTCGAATACAAGCCTTCGTTGTCAATTGCCTGTTCCTAATAGATTAATTATTTATGCACATCAAAAAAAAAAAAAAAGAAACAGACAGAAAAGAACAGTATGTATGACTTAATTATGCGCACGACTGCAGAGATAATATTGCAAGATAATAAGTAATTTTTCAACGGATATTTCCTCCTTGTATGATTTTGTATAATCAATGTACGATTATGGATACTTGATAGTTGCAAAATAAACTTATTTATAGTTCACAAATATAATGATTAATATAATAATGACCGTCTTTAATTATTCACAGGGACAAAATATATGAAGCCTAAAAAAAAACAGAGAAAGGAAAAAAATTTAACGCTTGATTGACGTTGCTAATTGCAAATAAGCATATTGCATATGATGTTTGCTTATTTCGTCACTAGAATAAATCGAAAGCTACATTCACTCAAGAAGAGTACGTATCACCATTGTGCCGCTACAAATGTTTAAAACATATTCAGTAGTTTGTGTTGCAACAAATACTTTATCAATTATTGTTGCTGTTGCTCTTTTAATCGCTGGATCTATTTGTATTCATGATACAAGTTTTCTTCGAAGTTCATGGACAGAAATATATTCATTATCAATTTATAGTGTTATTATTAGTATATTGTCTATTATATTTGCACTTTGTCTTATATATGTTGTTATTCGAAAACTTCCAGCATTAACAGTATTATTCTCTGTTTTAATTCTTATTGTATTCGTTCTTGCTATCATAAATCTTATTGTTCTTGCAGTAAGTTTTGGCGATCTTCAAGCTGATTCTGATAAAACTACTGAAACACTTTTTCATAATTATTCAAATTCAGATTTAATTATAAGTTCGAAAAAATTATTTGGAGAAATTCAACAAACATTTCAATGTTGTGGTGTTAGAGTAGCAGACGATTGGAAAAACCAATTACCTGATGGAAAAAGTACTCCTGATTCATGTTGTCGTATAGTAATTCCAGGTTGTGGTACCAATTCTCTCACTAGACAAGATACAATCTATTTACATGGTTGTGCTGAACCAATTTATTTTTATCTTCGCCAAAGATTTATTGCACTTCTTACTATTGATACTATTCTTGTAATATTGCTGTTAGCTAGTGCTATACTTGGATTTATATCTGAACAACATATTCGAGAACAATATCAAATGATGTGAAATAAGAAAATAGTGCAAACTATTTTATATTTTAGACTATGTAAACTCTATCATGAAAATAATCTTTTTTTTTTTCAATATCTTTTTTCTTTTTGGAAACTAACATTAAATAGTTTTTATCACTGATTTTTTTTTATTAACAGAAAAGTAAAACTATTTAATTATAATATTGGTGAAAATATGTAAAAAAAAAATAGAGAAAAAAAAATCAATTATAGATATAGAATACAAGCTCTAAGAAATATT